CTTGAACAGTCACATCACCGTGGATCTCCCCGGACGGGTCGATCGAATACCTCGCATACGCCGATGATGCCCTAATCTATACGCGCGACCGCCAGGCACTGGAAGACTATCTCCAGTGGCTTCCACAACGTCTACAATTAATGAGTCTGAATATCAAACACCACAAATAGTTCTCCGTCAACCACGTCATCGATGGATCGCGCAAACGTACCATATTAGACACCACGGCATTGGATTGTGACACCTTTACCATCCCGTCAATTCAATCAAAGGAGTTCACTCTGCTAGGGCCGCCCTCTAGCTGGAAGGGTAAGCTTCCTCCAACAGTAGCCGTGCAGCTTCAAGAAATATCGAAGGCTCCACTTAAATCCTACTTCACCAGTAAGCCCTCGTTGTCATGCATCGTAACACGTTAAAGCGAGTTGACCGTCTAGTGCAGTCCCACGTTCGCAAATAAATACGCTTAACTTTTGGCACTTCAATCGCTTATCTTTACGCATCAATCAATAGCTTTCGTTTGGAGATCCCCTGCCTATCCACGAGGATCTCTCTGCTTCGAAAGGAGAGGCTGGCAAACTGTTATCCCGTCATAAACTGTGCAAACCGGGTCCCTGCAGCTTGCGACTAGCCATTCTTTAGCCCGCTCCACTGTTACAATTAGAAAACGGATGGTCATAGAAAAGTGCACAACCGCGGACCCCAGGAAAGATACTGTCCTCGTTTCAACTGATGGCCTTCCCTTGCAGCAAGTTGCTACACTACCATCTGATCAGCATCGGCTTAGGAATCCTTCCAGAATTTTTTCACGACTGTACGTTCGAGGTAAACAACTAGCGGTGGGGTGCTTTCTACTAAAACGAAACGAGCAAGAGGCATGCCTACGACCGACACCGCTACTCTGTGGCAGTTGGGGTCAAAAGGAGTCACAGTCTCATATCCTTCAAGCCTGTTGAATCGCACACGAAGCCCGCTGTAAAAGTCACATAACTACGACGTCGAATGCTTAACATTGATTTAGAGATGCGAATACGCACTTCTCCTTCTTTTACAAAGCCGGATTTGCTAGCACATAAAGACTTTTCGGTTCACGTCATGGATGTAGCGAATTGTGACGCAGACCGTATGATTAATATATACCAGCTGAAACTCGAAAAATACGGCAAGCGAAATAATGCCTAGGCGATTTAACGATACATCCGAGTACAATTTCCCGACACCAGGACCATTAACGCCACATTATCATCCTCAAGGCTAGCGGGATGATTCATCCTGCCCCCGTAACACATTTAGGATCAACAAAACGCTCATCCCATGGTGTGCCTGACATCTAGATTTCAACCATACGCATCATGCCCAATGTTTATGACACACGAAAGGAGCATCCGCACAATTCACATAACATACACACATCACACAAAGTGACGATGAATGCGGCTCCGTGACTATTTGAAATTGTACTTCAACAGTTGAGACTTATTCTGCTAGAACATCAGTCCCTTCTTGGAATATTGCTGTACTGCTCACATCGACGGGCCATCCTCGCATTTGCGAACAACACAAGTTTCCAACCAGGGGAACTAGTATGCAGCGATCGTAATAAAGATTGATTCCATTTTGTGCCAACGCCGTGGATAGTGCAATTCAACATACCCGATGCGGGAACGTCGAGTGATCCCGCAAAAATACGCAACTGCGCCGCGAACTCCGATACGCGGGTTGCGCCACCCGGAGTCCATTTCCCAATCGCAACGCAGCAGCCAGTGCACAACAGTACCAAAGTGAACCATGGTCCTTTGTAAACCACACACTCTCATAAAGTGAACCGCTATGCCAACCGTGTCCGGCCTTTGTGTGTCATATAGGAATTCCAATAGGTCCGCCTCGCCTTCTGCGTTCTCGCTTGTGTGGCTCGTGGGGACATGCGTAGGTCACGTGAGGGTGCATACAGCCCAGTCAGCCGGCTTCATGTGCCTCGTAAGCACGTCTATACCATTTTACATGCATGTTAGTGCACTGTACCAAGCTTTTAGCGTGGCACATTTTCGAAATCGCGTGCAGTACTTCAAGTTAGCAAGGCTAAGAACGCTGTTTTGGCGTCGCTGACACTCTCATTGGTCATGGGACGTAAACCAATGGGACACCGGTTAGAAGCCGCCAGCATAAGCGACAGACAGTCCAATGGAAGTGGTCGAGCACCACCTTCTGTTCTGTCTTGATGCGCATCTGAAGTAAACCTCGATGATTAGTCTCCAACCTGAACCCGTCCAATGGGCAAATTGTGATGCCTGTCAATGGAGGAGATTCTAGCTACCACATTATCCGAAGCTTAAGACGTAACCAGTGCGGACAGACATACTAACCAGCACATGAAGCGGTCTATACTTAGTGATCGCTAGCGGCTACCTGCTGGTGGCTTATTCAGCGGCCTAACAATGGTGGCGTAGACAGGCAATGTTCTAACCGGCATTCCGCAGTCCCTTAGGTTTGAGGAAGTCAGACAGGCCTGCATTTGCGGTTGGTCAGGCATGCGCCGTACCTTGGACACTGCACACCCAAAACTGAATGAGCAATGGCACTCATGCAACCCGTCTAGAGGTGGTTTTAGACGGCATGACATTTTGGAAGGAAAGTAGACCAATGACATCACAGTCACCGTCTTTAGGCAAATAGCAAGGGTAAACCTATGGAGTGGATTCAAGCGATAAAGGAATGTGCTATGTAAATTGCAATGCGCAATATTTATAGTTAACGTCGTGATGGCACCTTGGTTTCTTTGGTTTGCGGTTGGCAGCTGGCCAGGTAAGATGGGATGTGGATCTGGTGTAGATCGCATTATACAAAGAGGACCGTATGTGCGACACTCGCCTGAGGTGAGAGAACGAATTTGGAGTGTCTATGAGCAAGGGGAGGGTTGGATGAGTGTTGCTGCATCGTTGAATGTGAAATTGAGCACGTGCCGTAGTTGGATACGGATGTTAGAATCGGTGGAACGGAGGAGGCAACACGGTGGAGCTCGCTGCAGATCCCTGACAGAAAGTCATGTCGATGCTCTGATCGAGTGGGTATCGGAAGAACCGACCGGTACTTTTCATCTCTCTGTTTGAGGCTGAATTGGACGTTGAAGTTACCACCATTAGAGTTCCCAGATACCTTGACGGTCGTCTTATCACACTAAAGAAATTGCACACAGTCTCGGAATCCATGAACACTTTGGCGAACAAAATACGACGGAGGCTGTTTGTGTTGCGGCTGCTACAGTTGCAGGCCGAAGGGAGACAGCCCATTTGGATTGATAAGACTAATTTCAATCTATTTTGTAGTCGCACCACGGATCGTTCACGGAGGGGAACTCGAGCACAGTGCACGGTGGCGAATAGCCGCGCGCAGAATGTGCACGTTGTGGGTGCAATGACGAGCGAGGGACTGAGAGCCTTTTCCGTTTTAAGAGGCAGCTTCAACAAGCGGAAATGCACGCAGTGGGTTCGGAAACTTCTGGCTTCCCAGGGAGCCGCTTTTATTGATCGGTGTGTTCTGATCTGTGACAACGCACTGTGCCATCCAGATGTGCAGGAGGTTTTCAAGGAGGAAGGATATCGAGCAGGAATGCTACTACGACTAGCGCCGTACTCTCCTTCGCTAAAGCCTATGGAAGGCGTGTGGAGTGTTGTGAAGACGTACGTGAAGGACACCATGAGGAGGAGATATGCGGAAATGCTTAGACGGGATCCAGAAGGGGTTCTTTGCACTGGCGAGTGGCGCACACGATTTCTCGAGCAGGTGTTGCTTGCAGCCAGAGGCTGCGTTAAGCAGCACCATTGCGAGCAGATGGTGAGACATGTTGCGAAGAATTACGGACGAGTGATTCATTTTGCCGATTTATAGATTGCAGCCGTTTAAATAAAACACTTATGTACATAACGTTCCTCTTTGTCTCAATAAACGGGAGGGAATAAAGGGCATTACATGCTCGGCAGCATACAGTACTTTAGTAGCCGCAGACATTTTGTCACCGTTGTTACTGTTCTTGGTTGCGTGCAGTCTAAATCATGGGGAAGTGGATGGTTAAGAGCGGGTGAGTGAACGGTGTTTCAAACGGCACATGTCTGTTCGTGTGAAGTCGCGTAGGCCGCAGTACTTCGCTAAGGGTTGCGCGCCATGTATTTGTGAGGAGGACCAGAGGTGATGTGACGCAATTTTGTGGATGACTTCACCTTCGCCGGACCAGCAATGCTTAGTCGACGACCTCATTCCAACAATTGCAGTTGATTTCGGTGAGGAATAGGAAAACTGTGGCGAACGAGATTACACAAGCGTAGAACCAGAGTACAAATGGAAATTTTGTAACCATCAAGTTGCAGAGACCGCCTGTTGTGATCTTCCAGTGGGTTGTACGCTGAAGTGAATCGTGTAGCTATGTATCTCTAATGTAGTGGTTGCGTTGTGTGCTGATTGCAACTGCCCTGGTTGGATAACATCGTCATTGAATCTTAGGACATTGTTCAAAGTAGGAGGATTCCAAATGTGGCGGCGACATGACGTTAGTGAGTGTGCGTTTGTCTCCAAACCCATGGGCGACTGTGTTAATCAGTTGTCGCTTCAGTGTATCCATGTATCGCGTTATGTAAAGGTTACAGTAACTATGACTCTCTAACATCTTCCGTCCCTGGTGCTTAGTGCTTTGCCTTCGGCTTCGGCTGTGAGTATAAGCTACCGGTATAATGAGTGGTCCCTTGAGGATCACCGCCTTGGTGGGAAGGTGTGGGAGGAATGGTTACATGTCCTGGGCGCCTCCACGTGGCGACTGCCGGGGTAGGAGATGGGCTTGCCTGTCTCTGAGCTAATATCCAGGACAACCCACGTAGGGCTAACCACCCTGCTTGGGTCAAATCGCGGTTACTAAACCTTCAACAAAGTCAATTTCAAACCAAGTCTCTAGCTTGGTTCCAAACCGCGGCGATCGTACCGTTGTTGTCCCCTCTTTGGCTCCGGTGGCGTCCGGAATGGGAGAGCGGGAAGTCGATTTGGATATCGAAATGGTAATGGAAGATCGAGAGAGTGGTGGTCATAGCATTTCAGATGATGCCGTTGATGTCCAGGACGGGTATGTCTGCTTCTGTGGTGCAGCCTTTGGTTCCAAGCGTGGGCTTGGCCAACATAAAAGGCACAGACATCCTGTGGAGCTTAATGAGGAGAGGTTGCGTCTGGTGCCAAGGCGAAGAGAGTGGTCCGAGAGAGAAGCCTCACGGTTACTTGCGCTAGCAAATCAGTTTCTTCCGGAGTGCGAAAACAAAGTGGAAGCCTATCGTCGCCTCTCTGCTCAGTTTCCTGGACGGAGTGTGGAAGGCATCAAGTAACAGTTGATGAAGATGCGCTGGCCGATGCGGAGGCCTAGTTCGGAGTTTTTGTTTTGGGACTCATCGAGGGTGGTCCGTGTTCCTCCGATAGATCTTCCTGAGGTTGGTGCGGAGTTGGCTGGGAATGTCTTGGTGTCAGATGATGGGACGACCACAAACCGGGATCCAGATTAGAACGAAGCGGCCTTCGAGCCAAACCTTATGCAGTTCTCTTATGAAGAGCAGTGCCGTTCATTCCTGGAGAGTCTTTGGCGTGAGTCGGACCTAGACGGGGTGTTCGGTGAGTTGGCTGATCTTATTCCGCCGGACGGGGAGGAGGGTGCCTCTCCTAAGGTGGCCATGATCAAATCGCTGCTGGGGGAGGAGGGTGCCTCTCCTGAAGTGGCTCAACTCGAAGCGATCCAACCGCCAATGAGGGAGGAGGGTGCCTCTCCTAAGGTGGCCATGATCAAATCGCTGATGGAGGAGGAGGGTGCCTCTCCTAAGGCTGGTCAGAAGGTTGCCAATTGGTCTGTCGAAATACTAGCCCATACCATAACGGTATTGAAGCGCTCTCAGCACGGGGATGACCTGGCTGGTCAGCTGCTTCAGCTTGCTGAGCAGTTGCAAAATGGTACGCTCAATAAACGTGCAGGCGTGATGCGTCTGTGCGAGGTCACTGAGCAATTTTTTCCTCTCAAATGGCATCCCCCGAGGCAACGGAGAACCTGTACCGCTGGTGGCAGGCGGGCGATCCGGAACGCCAACTATGCAGCAATCCAGAAACTGGATAACGAAACGTAAAGATGCTGCACAGGCTATCCTGGATGGTAGTTGGCTGAGCGCATATAAATCTCAACACGTGGGGCTCGATCAGACTATGGTAGAGTAATGGAGATCTGTGTTTGGCGCACAAAGTGTGGTGGATGGGAGACCGGTTCCTAAAGAGGAAAACCATAATTATGGTTTGATTGAGCCAATTTCTGCGGCAGATATCGGTGAAGCCCTGCGGACAGCCGGAGGTACGGTCCCAGGACCAGATAAGGTGTCGGTGGCGGATTGTAAATCCTTGGACTGGACGGTACTTGCACAACTATTCAATCTTATGATGGTTCTTGAGTGCCCTCGTGCATCTTTGACGACAGCACGACTGACGTTGGTGCCCAAGGGGTCGGACCCCAGCACGCCGTCAGATTATCGCCAGATTGCGGTTTCTTCGATTCTGCTTCGGGTGTTTCATAAAGTCTTGGCAAAAAGATGGAGGTCGCGATTGACTCTATCTTGTCTACAGGTCGCATTACAACAGCGGGATGGGTGTCTTGAGGCCTCATATGTCCTACAGTGCATTCTCAGAAGGAATCAGTCCGACTGCCTGAATGCCGCGATGGCGTTCTTGGACGTTGCCAAAGCGTTCGACACCGTGTCATGTGACACAATTATACGAGCCGCAGCTGCACATGGAGCCGCACCTGAGCTTCAGCGTTATTTGCGTGTGTTATACACCTCTTCAAGGTTGCTGCATGGCAATGAAGTATTGGAATGTCACAGAGGTGTGAGGCAGGGGGATCTTCTGTCTCCTCTTTTCTTCATCATGGTAATGGATGAGGTGGTTGCTGCTACCGTGCCAAATCGGGGGGGGGGGTGCGTCTTTGTGGCGATGAGATTGGTGCTTTGGCATACGCGGATGATCTCGTGTTGTTCGCTTCTTCCTAAGAGGCGTTGTCTGCGAAGCTGGTGGCTTTGCAGCAGTCACTTTCGGCGGCAGGTATGTCGTTGAACGCCTCGAAGTGTCGGGCCATTACGGTCCAAAAGCTCGGCAAACAGAAGTGCGTGGTCCTGGTGCCACAAGCTTATCCCCTGCAGGGGGGTAAGGTCAGCCCAGTTGCGGTGACGGATGAGATTCGTTACCTTGGCCTACGCTTCAAATGGAAGGGGAGATGCCAGGTTAGAAGCACGGCTGTTCTTGCTGGGTGGTCCAACGAGATCTCTCGTGCCCCATTGAAACTGCAACAGCGTCTGGATATGGTGCGGGACTTCGGCTTTCCCAAAATGCCTCATGAGTTGGTTCTGGGGAACGCTCATCGGAATACTTTGCGGCAAATGGATAAGATGGTGCGATCCAAAGTGCGGGAGTGGATGCGTTACCCCAAAGATGTGTCGCTCCCTTTCTTTTACACGAGTCGAGGCCTGGGGGGTCTCGGCTTGCTGTCTTGGAGCATCCTTGTTCCTTTTTCTCAAAGAGCCAAGTTCGGTCGTTTGTGTTCTTCGCCGTCCTCGTTGGTGCGGGGACTACTGGAGTCGGCAGCGTGCAATGTTGACATTCGGAGTGCTCATGTTCCAGTCCGCCTGATGGGGACTGTGATGGAGGATAAAAAGGCCGTGTAAGGTCTCTGGAGAGAAAAAACTTGAGTCGTCATGTGATTGCAAAGACTTGCAGCTGGACAAGCAAGACGCGGCGAGCAGCCAATGGATGTCATCGGGCCGGAGGGTTTTCCCCCGCCTCTTCATTCGTGTTACCAAGTTAAGGGGCGGACTTTTGCCAACCAAGGTGCGGAGTGCACGGGGGATTTCCCGGAAGGTTGATGATGTCAAGTGCCGTGGTGGTTGTGGGGGACCTGAGTCTATTGGGCACATCTTGCAGAGATGTTGTCTTACCCATGATGCCCGGTGCATGAGACATAATCGAGTAGTACGTAAAATTGCCTAGATTGTCAAGCGAAAGCATGCGACGGTATATGTTGAGCCCATCATTCTATTACCGGTGAGCTACTGCAAACCAGACCTCATTGTCTGTTCCAAAGGATCGATAATTGTTGCAGACGTGGCTATCACATCGGCGCAGAGGCAAGAACTGACGTACCGTGAGAAAGTCGCCAAATATATGGGGGCATGCAATTCGACACGGGCCTACCTTGGTGGCAAGGGGGTCCAAATGACCAATGTGGTGCATTGGCCAATCATTATCTCGGACCGGGGTTACATTTTGAAGGGCTCTGGTGGAGCTCTTCATCGTCTTGGTTTATCAGCTTGTGACATTTCTGAGTTGGCTCTACTGGTCATTGCGGGATCGCTGAAGTGCTATGACGTATATATGCGGGGTACCTAACTGTCTCTCTCTTTCCGTTCGTTACAGGTGTCGAAAAGGGACACAATGAAGCCGAAGGCCCAAACCTACGGGAGGTCGAAGCTGATGAGCAGCGGTATGAAAGCTGTAACGTCCATTTTGTCAACAGCCATCACCCTTCGCCTGGACCCACATTATTGCCCTAATTCCCCTTGAATTCACTCTGTTTGAACGTTCGAGAGATAATGTGTGTACGTTGTCTACGATGCGGCGTGATGGCTCGGTGCAGCCCCCTGCTGCGGGGATGTCTACTGAGATGTTGGAGGATATTATACGTGGGACTGTGTTGCGCACCATGCAGGTGTCTGATACTACTGCTCGCCGCAGTAGGAGTTTACAGCCTGTACGTATGGTACAGGCGTCCTATCCGCAACGTCGTGGGATATTTACAATGGGGCTACCAGCGAACGGGGGAGTGGTACAACCGGTTGGCCGGCGTGACCGTTCGCGTAGTCAATCGCGTACGCGGTTGGTATCAGCAGGTGCGGTAATTGCCCCGACGTTGTGTGTTGGTGATCGGCCGTTGTCACGTCGGGATTACTATGTTTTAGGGGAGAAGTATCATGTTTCAGTGTCGGTAATACCGAATTATTCGTATTTACGGCGTCATTATGGCTATTTGCGCGGTGGTCGAGTGACTGTCGTGTCGAAAGTTGATACAGCGATGCCCCAGGCGCTGGCACCTTTGTTTGAGAAGATATCCGATGATTTAGTTGAGATGATGTCTAAGAGTGCCGTAGATGGATTTACGGCAGATGAGGGGTTCGCCTCTGAGGTGTCTGGTGAGACACGGGTTACCCGACGTCGTGTAGCGAATCAACCGCGAGTGAATGTGGTTGTGCCGGCTAATCGCCAGCGTCGTTGCGGGCGTATGCCGTTTAATCTGATGACGACGGTTATGTTTATGTTGTGGTTTTTACTAACTGGGTGTATTGCGGATTATGTGACGACTCATGGTTGTCCTAATCAGATAGCGGGGCTAAGGGTAAAATGTTTGTATCCAGCCGTGCCAGCTGACGTGCTGCGAGCTATACCGCCATTGTCGCGGGTTTTATTGTTGGCGGGTCAAGCTTATGGCCCGTTTATTAATGTTTATGGACGGCTACATGGGCGTGTTGATACTACTGCCGAGATATCGCTCGTTCAGAATACGGACTACCCATGTGTCGCTTCGGGGCGACGATCAGTGATGGGAGTGGTGTTGTACAACAACACTGCTTGGGAATTGGATGAAGACGGGTATTGTCCTTTGCTTCATACGCCGAAGTTAAGCGATGCCCACTGTGCTGCGGGATGTCTTTATGATCGTGATGCCGCGATGTACAAGTGCGCGGACACATCTAAGGCGTGTCAGGTTCCTACTGAGCGGATGGGACATGCGTTGTTCAGTAGCTATGTTAGGCGGATCCTGTTATCTGTCGCAGGGCAGCAGACGTTGGATGACGAGACACTGAACACTCTCCTTATTGAAGCGGAGCGCATCGTCAACAGTAGACCACTTGTACCGCTAACTTCGGACCCCAACGACCGCGAGGCACTTACACCTAACGATTTGCTGATATTGCGATCCAACGCAACGCATATATTAACGGCCCTGCCTGAAGAATATAACCGCTGTTGGCGACAGGTGAATTACCTAACTACGTTGTTCTGGAAAAGATGGGTCAGAGAGTATTTGCCGTTGTTGCAATCGAGACAAAAGTGGTTACACAGCAGTCGAAATTTTAGACCAGGTGACGTGGTTTTGGTCTCTTCTGAAGCGAGCTCGCGTGGAACATGGCCATTGGGAGTTATTGAGAGCTGCACTGATTCTGGAGATGGGCTCGTCAGGACGGCTGTTGTCAGAACAAAGGAAGGGTTGTACAAAAGAGACGTGCGTAAGCTCTGTTTGTTAGAAGGAAGTGACAAGGGTTGGAATGTAGTTCCGGCTGTTGGCTCTCCGCAGGTGGGAGGCGGGTCTTCGGATCTGCTGCTCCAGGGAGGACCACTGTGAGTCCAACAGCCGAAGTGTGAGGGATCAGGCGTACCGTTGTAAGTCCTGTGACCTCCCATAGCGGATGGAGTTGGCGTAGGGCGATCCAGAACAGAACGTGTCGTCCTCAACCACTGGAAAATCCGGGACAGATTTTCGCGGGGGAGTGTAACGTCCATTTTGTCAACAGCCATCACCCTTCGCCTGGACCCACATTATTGCCCTAATTCCCCTTGAATTCACTCTGTTTGAACGTTCCACGTATACCGCCCTGCATGACCCTTAGTCGTTTGTTTTCCATGCCCACCTTACATTGGTGACACCACCTGTCTCGCTACTTTCTTTGATGCATGCTCCACTTTATCGATCACTGCTTCGCACTTGTTCCATTTGCGTGTTACTATTGAGGTCAGGGTAGACCGGAGATTTTGTGGGGTGGACACACCACCCATCCGGCTGACATGTGCCCCTAACCGCAGGTCTTCATAATGTGTCCCCCATTGAACCTGCTTGATGTGATTGGACTAGTGGCTGTTGGTTTCTTGATTGGCTCACTGGTGCATGTCTCGCATGTCATGTAACCGCGCTGGGTCATTTTGCTGACTGGACGACCGTATTGATGTCCTGTTCTTGTAACGGCCAACTGATTGTACTTGTCTTTGTTTGAGGACATTGTTGAAGTATGTTGTCACTTTGATCTTTTACTCTTTGTATAATAGCACCGTAGTTCAGCATCGACTGTGGCTTTTTTGTTTCTCCGGTGCCTACACACCAACTCCGATCCTTGTCGCTCATTGATCCCCTGTCGGAGGCCGCGAATCGGTGCCCTACGCGTTGTCCAACTATCCTAAGCGATTTTTGAAGCTTACAAAAGCAACTGGCGTTTCGCGAACGCTCTCGGAGATTCGGGATGACAAACGATGATGGATCTTCTTTGGATGGATTAGTACTGGTGTTCTCCCTGTCCCATGAAGTTATCCCATTATGAACTTGAACTTTCACTTCAGTGCACGAACTGCATGACCAATTTTGCTTATCTTGTACCCCGTTTTTGTTTACTCGGCCCAGTATTTTTCATATTAATTGGGCAGGACGTGTCAAACCGCACTCCGAAAATATATGATAAAGGTAGCCCATGGTGGCGTAGACACGCAATAATCTAACTGGTATTCCGCAGTTCAGCCATGGCTGCTAGGTGGTTACATAATTTTGTGCGATTGTTATTGCGACGATCATATGGGGACAATGTTCCCATTGAAGTTGGAAGACCAACCTGAAGCTGAACAACGAAAGTGCTATGTTTGCTTATTTCTATCACAGTTGATGACTCAACAAAAAACGAGAGGATTCCAAGTGTGACGTTGACACGACGATAGTGAGTGTTCGTTTGTCTCCACACCCATGGGCGACCTTGTTAGTCAGTTATCGCTTGTGTCTCCATGTTTGGCGTTATGTAATGGTCATAGGAACCTATGTATTCTTAGGATAATTAGGCTTCACTTCCCTATGATCACCCATACGTGTTGAGACGCTCTGACAAGTTGCTCTCCAAATGGAACCATCAGAAGTACAGTCGATGCAAATGGAACCTTCCTATTAAGTCTATGGACTGGCATGCTGTCCCATTACTCAACAAAGAAATACCTAAAGGGGCTACAATGACTACGGTGTTTATACAAGGCACATCGTCATGCTAGAAAGAACGCAAGACTTATAATTAGTGGCAACGCAGGCATTTCACTCTAATAATTCAGGTGAGTAGTTGGAAGAGACAAACACTGTTGTTTCACCCACGGGCGGTCCTACATTGTATTTGCAATCATTTACAAAGGCAACCACGCCCACTAACCTTGCTATGGACCGCCGTTTCAGCTAGTCTTAAAAGCAGTCATGTGTGCACACCGTGACACATGTTGTTATCTACTTGGCAACTACTCGGAAACAGCTTGTCATTGGAAAGTATGTAATTTCGGAGGCATTGTTGAAGGAGGAAAATTGCTCCAAACTGTATGTTTACTACGCGTATGCAATGCTCACTGGCAGCTCATATCAGGGCCGTAGGGTCACTTGATATTTCAAGCTTATCAATCACTTGGAAGTGAAGTGTAAATATCATGTTGAAACACAGGATTGACGTGCATCTTACGACCTTAACGGCAGGTCCATGGGTCCTGTAGCGGTAACTGATTACCGAAGTGGCCCACAGGCGTGGAGAGGAACGAACACCGCCACACTGGGAACCCTGCTCTTTGGAACAATAGCTACAGACCAACTGATGGTCTTACCTACACAGCGAACTTGACCTTAGTATACAATGCGCCGACTACATCAGCAATACGTAGCTACGCTATTCACATGAGTGTACGACCAACTAAAAAAACAGCACGAGAACTTGGTAGCTGTAAAGCTTTTAAAAATTTTATTTGCGAAGAAGTCCTAGCTTTACTTCCTTCATACGAATTACTGCATTGTTGCTGGTTACCTCACACTGCCTTAACAATCACACGTATATCCTAAGCGAAATCGCACACCTATCGATTCTCCAAATTGCTCGTAGTGGCACGATTACACTGCATACCGTATCACGTATGGCCAGATGGGCAAGCGAGCGAGGAAGGCAACCGTGCAGTCAACCCCTAAGCCTACAAAGCTGGTGTAAGCCTTCAAAGATTCTCTTCCAACAGCCTGCAAGGGTTGCA